GAATAGTGATAGGTATATGGAAGTTTCCTCAGGTAGCGCAGATTCAAGCATCTTCATATCAAACCGGGCCTAGGTTTGGGCCACAATAAGCGATCAATTTTTTACATAGGAATATAATTCTTTAAAAATTATCTTCTCAAAAAGAGGTTAAGGCAATGCAACAGAGCAAAACAAAGCAATGATTAGTCATATTTATATGGATTGTTGATTGATTGATTATTATTATTATACCTCTACTGAATTTTTCCCTATCTAACATTAGATCGCTAGATGTGACTATTTCCCTAGAAATCATTTTAAAAGAATGGACTAATCCCCGTATGTTAGTCAAGTGAGCTAATCCCCGCTTCGAAAGCTAATTCCAGGTTATCCGTAATCCTCTAGGTTTTACATTAAAATTGGTATTATATGTGAATGGACTAATCCCCGTGTGTTAGTTCATTGACCTAATCCCTGCTTTGAAATCGCGCTATCTGAATCCTCTAAATTTTACGTTTGTATCGGTTAATAAAACAGTTAAAAGTAAATCATAAAATAGTCCTGGCCTTGGGGAACTGAAATCTTGCTAACTCCCTCAATGATATACCTTAACTGTATATTGTTGTTTAACACCGAGTTGTCAATATTTCAGCCATATTTTGACGAGAACATTTAGTGTATATGGCCATTTTTGAAGTTTATAGTTTCTCTGGCCATATTTATATGGATCATTGCCGTGCATTGTCATGCGACATGTTCTGATGGATGACAATATGCACAGTGAGGGTAGGTACACATTGTCGCCGGCGACAATATGAACAAGACGACAAAATGTACCGTCAAAATCACGCTGCATGAAATATCATACGAGACACGTCAGTGTGATATACACCCAAATTACATTCACAAAACTACCAAAAAAACAACAAAAGAAGTCTTTAAGCAACAATATCTGTGGGGCGACAATATGTACAGTGAGGGTGAGGCACATAATGTCGCCAGCGACAATATGTACATGTGTTACTTTTCAGTCGGTGACAATACTTACCGATGGACTACAATATGTGCAGTGAGGGTAGGTACATATTGTCGCCGACGACAGTATGTACAAAACGACAATATGTGCCATCACAAATGCTCTCCTCGCCTTTTGTACTCAATACATCTTTAACTCCACTTGATTCTGAATTATTAAATTGACCTTAAAAACAGCAATGATTGTATAATGTAATGAAATCAATATATCATCGATTTATTCCCAATGAAGCTCAAGTGAGCATTTTGGCCCTTGATTTATTATTTTTATTTTGCCCCCTAAAAGTTTCAACTTTAATCCGTTCTAATTCACAAGGGGTCATTATCTACGGGGGTCATTTTTCTTCACGTAGGGTATGCAGGTTTTTAGGGTTATGACACTTTTTCTACGGGCAAAAGGGTCATTTTTCGACGTCGAATAATGACCGGGGGTCATTTTTCGCCGTTGAATAATGACCGGGGGTCAATATTCGACGTCGAAAAATGACCCCCGGTCATTATTCTATGGGGGTCATTATTCGTCTTTACACCGGCTCTGGTTAACATGATAATTGATAGGTCATAATTCAGCACAATGTGAAGTAATCGCACTTATCCATGTCTCACCGCACACAAGGTGCTGTACAGTTTCTCAAACAATTGAAATACAGCTTTTTCTTAAAAGTGTTCAAAAGCAGCAATATGTTTAAATTTTCTTTTACAGGAGTTTCCTTTTTTAAAGTCCGCAGTACAATTATAAGTAAATTTATATACTTGCGATTTTTTTGTCTATTTTTACTTAAAATGCCGACTTGTGAGAACTTGCATTGCTTTGCATAGCTTCAGAGTATTCTTTTAAACGATGTATCTTCAAATTTTGCCCCGATAATAAGCACTTATGCAAATCAAAACAATACTTCAAACGGAAATACGTTATAACGTGGAGGTATCCGATAGTACCTTAAAAATATTCTAAATAATATCATGACTTATATGTTGTTTGAGCATTTCACGCAAAATATATTAAAAGCGTGTTAAGGAAATACTTTCATCTAGAAATTATTAAAACTACGATTTTCGGGACGTAATTTGATTGACACATATTCTTGTACTTTCACAAAGTAAAGTTTATTCATAATACTATACAACAGCACAGTTACGGCTTCAAAAAGGAGACGGGCCTAATTTATATTTATAAATATGACATCACACAAATCTAAAAATTCTTTAAACTGCAACGAAATGGAAAGATTTGCTATTTTTAACTGAACAATATAATTAAACTGCATTAAATCTTACTATAATAAGCCTTTTTTTTAGCTAGTTAAAATCCATATAGCAAGGTATAAAGATGTCACTGATCGCGATGTGACGTCATTTCGTATAACTTGACGCAGTTTGTATGCAGCGAGAGGCGGATCACTTAATATTTTCACAACGACAGATGTATTTTATAGTTAAATAAAATATTATTTGCAGATATTAGGAGGCCAATAACTTGGATACAATGTCTTTTTTTATGATTTTTTTAAGGAGGCTGGGGGGGGGGGGGGGGGCAACAAATTAACAATCAGATATAACTAATTTTTTTTAGATTGATATCTTAAGCTGTCAACTATCATTTGGCAACGAAAAAATTCATATATTTTAGCTTTAAAATTTGATCATTTTTGTATATCTTTATATGGAACTCTTCTTCTAAAGGAGATCAATATAGTCTAAAAATGGCCACGACCACCCAGCCCTCTTAAGATATTTCCTGTGCATTTCCTAGTTAACTGATACTGTCCTGCATTTGTAAGCAAGTGCATGGGGGGGGGGGGGTTAATATAAGGGTCTTAATAAATCGTTCTAGTGCAAGGGCATGCACTCAATGGATTTTACACATAAACTCTAGAGATACTAAGATAAGTGCTGCGATCCTAGCTGGTGAAATCGTCAAAGTGAATTTATTATTCCTATATTCAATGCAGTTGACCAGCAAAAAAATTCAGCATGCAGCCACACAAATATACTTTTAGCAATGAAATAGTATAATCTGTATAGGACTGCAGCACTTTTCACATACTACAATGGGTGTTGAAAATATTTATAAACTACACTATGCAGTTTAACTTGGTTAGACCCTTGAAGTACTGAAATTTATAAGTGACCTCATTAATTAAGGATATGTGCTAAAATTACGTGACTGCCACATCACATGAGAAGTCTAAAGAGAAAATCTAATCGTCCTCAAAATGTTGGTAATAACCATAATTTCATTTGTCCGATATTAGTAAAGTACTAAAAAGAATCGCCATCCTGAATAAGAATGTATTTTTTAATTATTATTACAAAAAATCGCCTATATTTAATTGGGCACCTTAGCTGTACTGCGTGTTTACATTCAAGATGTATTTTGCTTACACTGTGTATTAATAAAAATATAAAAACTATAATCCAGGAAGTTCAGAGTAGAAATGCGAGAAAGCAAAACCAACCCACCGATATTGTCAGTCCATCATTCCGTGCTCAGTAAACAAATTGAACACACACGGTAAAATGTAAACACTTACAATAACAGAGCTCGTGCTTGTTTACAAACAAAGGTGTTTGACCTGAGGTTTGGAAGAATGTCATTGTCATTCTTAGAATGTTCATGTAAGTTCAAATTATTAAACTGAAGTTATTTTTTGAATACAAATAGACATCTATGATTGTAAAAAATACATCTGTGTCCAGGCCCCTTTAATGCACGTACATTTGTGCGTGCTCCTTTTCTATAGTTTTCAATCTGTAAAAATCTGGAAATACCGACTGAATATTTTTATATGTCTTAATTTCCAAATGATAAGAAAATCATATTGATACGGAAGTAAAATTGCGCAAGCATATTTTTTTTTTTTTTTTTTTTTTGTTATTAATTTCCACAAAACACTGTGTTGCTTGTTACCTTTATATATTTCTGTAATTTATGAACCTCTTATCAGGACTTACTTCCCATAATCAGTTCGAGATAAGCAACCTGATTTGGGTATATTTTCTTTACGAAAGAAAGCATATACTGCTATGCCTGGACAAGAATGAATTATTTAAAATATTTACAAGGCGCAAAAAATATCAGATAAATATCCTAAAAAATAGATAAATATCCTGGCTGCATCTGTGACTTTTAATATTTCTTTCACATTTTTTTTTTCATAATTATTAATCATTATCACGTAATAATGTATCATTTATAGTGTCAAGTCTATTTATTTTGGTGCTTTCTTCGGACATTTTTTGCACCAACTTTTGACGTTGTCTTTTAACTATGACGTCATAATAACGACGTAATTATGTCATGTTGCTATTGTTATTGTCAATATTCAAAATCCACTGAAGAGCGCTATGGATTAAAGTGCCATCTTCTACGAAATCTTTATATATATATATATATATATATATATATATATATATATATATATATATATATATATATATATATATATATATATATATATATATATATATATATATATATATATATATAGAATGCCCAAAGAAATTCACTTAAATAAGGATACAATGTACCTACTTCTGCCCAACCCGTAGATGAACTCTCGACCTATGTACAACGTTTGTGACGTCAAAATAAAACGCATATTTTAACTTTTTGACTTCTTGTCCTTGTTAAGGTGTTCTGAATGCCGAAGCTTTCCACACATTTACATTTTATTGAATTACATGTGGAATGTAAATTTAGTTATTTGGGTATAAGTTTTGATAAAGGATCGTATCCGATACACATTGTAAGTAAATGAAATTAATGTCCAAATAACTATATATTCATATATATACACGGGTATGTGAATTGCTCCCCAAAATTTTATTCGCGAACTGAAGCGTCCAGATTACATGCCTTATTCGATTTACGAGGATTCAATGTTTATCAAACAAAATGAGTTTATATAACATATTGCTTAAAATATATATCTTATACAACAAAGGTTTGAAATATTGTTTAATTCAGAAATTAGTGACATTACCAAGACTTCCTGTAGTGTTTCCTGCCAGCTGGATTCTGTAGTCATCAGCCTCGTCTGTGATGTAGAACTGGTCATATCGATCATATAGTGTTTTCTATTGGTCAATATTATGGAAACATACAAAGAAGTTGTACTTTCGACGGTCAACATGTGAATGAGGTTATTTCCTACGATCATTAAATTCGAATTTTACTTTTCATTTTTAAGTTAGTTGTATTCATAGACCATAAAATTTTCCCCTTATATAAGAATGAGGACTTGTCACAATTATTTTATGTCTCGAACATTAAAACCACCGTGTCATACGCAATGTACCTTGCATCATGCATTTTCCGTTTATAATTTTTCACGATATTCATATTTTATAACATAGTAGCTTATGATCTTTATTGACAAAAAATATCAACATACATTACCAGGAATTTGGAAATCGATATTAAATCAAGGAAGTCTTTGTGCTATTCAAAGACAAATATACCTAAAATATCAAGCCTACAATTTTAGCTTGCCTTTCCTCAAAATTTGTTGCAGAAGAGGTGTACAGCGTTATAAGGCATAATAATAGTCGCACAAAGGTCCTTCAAGTATTATAACACCGCAGCTAGGTTAAGGACGCCCATGAAATATACGCCTTAATATATTCAGGGAAAATGAATACAATTTTAATATTTTTTTTAACAGCATTAGTTTTGATAAATGTGATATGTGGTGTTTGCACTTGTATATATCGGGTCTCTGCTGAGTTCGGCGAAAACGACATAGCTTACATCAGCTGTTTGTCACGTGACAGTTTTAAAATTAGAACATATATGTACTACTACAAAGATCGTAAAAGTTCAACGATATACGGGCATTTTTACGCTATAAAATTTATTCTGTTTTCTTTGAGACAAATTCCTTAACACGAAAAGTGCTGGGAGCAACTTCCTCATGCTCGGGAATTGTTAAAACTTTAGCCGTCTTTCTAAAAACTCCAGTCAAAAATGTAATTCGCATTCGAATAATGTTACATTACGGAATAAATCAACAATGCACAACCAGCTCCCAGCACTTTTCAGAATAGTAGGGATAGTAGCTACACGTGTTTAAAAATTCAGAATTTATAGTGAAGCGGATATCGTTGAACTTTTAATATTTTCGAGGGGCTGGACCTGTCATTCTAGCATGTTACTGTACAAATGTGCTCCCTACGGCCTAATATAAAGTCTACACATTATCAATTTAGTTTGACAATAAAATGTGGATTAATATATTTCAGAATATTTCTCTCTTTTGGTCCGACTACGCGTGTTTCGTATTTATTTTTATTTTTACAAGCTACGATAAAAGCTTGATCCACGCCTCAAGTACAGAGAAACTGCGTGTCAAACTAAGAAATGACGTCATCTCAGTAAGTACAGCGAGATCAAGCTGGCTTTCATTCTACATACGCTAAGTGCTATTATGGCAAGATAAGTTGCACATCAATTTATCTTTATAATATTTATGATAAACGAAAGTATTTAATGTGTTTTAAAAAGAACATATAGTATTTATTCATCGAGATTCATTTGTATTGTTTTAACGTGACGTCATAATAGCTTTACCAAACCTCTGCATAGGCTGACGTATATATGGGAGTCCTTAACCTAGCTGCGACTTCAATTATAAAGGGAATTAGAAGATCAAGTTTGAAACTACATTGCCTATGTCCTTAATTCGAAACAAAACTAGAGGGACTGTGAGCAGTGAGCCCACAAAATGATACCCCCTACCCCCTTCCACTCCCATAAGGGTTAAAAGGCAGTGTCCATGTTTTGATATAGGAAACCTGAAATATGTGTCGATAAGAGTAAAACAGGTGTAACAATGGTAGTAAGTAGAAAAGATTCCGTGAAAGTTATTTAAAAATATTCTTCTGGTTCGGTGAATCCTGTACACCTCAGGTGGCTAAACAATCGTATTGACCGAAAAAAAAAACAATAATTGTATAGTAATGGTTAGTCTAAATAATGTTGTGTAATACATGCACAATATTCTTTAATTTTAAGTAATATGAAGTTGTTGATATAATTACATTTTGTTATAACATTCTTTAAGTAATAAGTTAAAATATTTTGACAAACTGGTCAATTAATTGTAGTAAACAATGAAATGAAAACAAGCGCTTTAATCGTTCCTCTTCATTTATCACCCTTATATCAGATAATTTTAACATAAGAAAAGGGAATTGAGGATGAAAAAGCTGAAGTCGTAGTAAGAGTGTTTTTCTAAAACTTTTATGGTTTCATTTCTAATTTGAAAAAAAGAAATGTTCAAATAATTAATTATTGACAAAATTGTGCTAATTAGCTTTACACCGAGTTAATTATTCATGATTAAATAAAATATGCAAATTGCTTTATTGATCTTCACTTTTACTGCTGTTGTGATCGAATACTAAAACCCCAACACTTTTCATATTACTCAGAAATGAATTATTCAAATAATAATTTTCTACAAGTCTAGTCAGTAGCATAAGCCATAAATTCTTAAAACACATCTTTATTCGTTCTGAAAATTCGTTTTCGAAATTCATCTCTGCAACTATTAGACAGTTTATGTCTATGAAAGAATCATTACATAAAAACTTGTTAATAACCAATTTCTTAAAGTTTGATGACTAGAACAGTCAAAAATCAAAGGTATAGTGATGTTAATAATAAATAACACACAAGCTGGGGGCTATGATGGTTGGTTTTTATTTTTTTTTTTTTTATCTATTTATATTTTGCTAATGCATCATATCAGTTTCTAACAAACAGGAGGATATCTCGAGATGGAATGCAACAAAGAGGCAATTATTCCCAGAAATTATTTAAATGATTGTTTATTACAAATGTTAAAAATCAAGTACGTAACTGATAACTACAGACCTATCGATCCTATTCAGGAACCTATCAAAATACTATACTGTTACCTTAACCAGAATTCAAAAACATGCAGATTCTAAGGTACACTCTAAGTAAGGTGATAGAATCAAACGTGAAATAATGAACAAACCGTCCATCCCCCTCCTTGTGTCTTCATATCACAGTACACGTCTACAAGTCTCTGGCTGTCTCTCCATGGGTATATTCTGTACACGCCTGATACAGCTGGGACAAGGGCACGTAGCTCCAAACAGGTGGACGCTTTGAGAAAAAAAAAAAACAAAAAAACAAGGCATTGTGATTGACATAATAATAATGTTAATACAAAAGAAAATCAATGTTAACGCAAAAAAATATTGTTTATACATACCATTTGGAAATGTGTAATATCTCAAATCTCCAGATTCTTTAGAATTGTTCGTGAACGTTTAATTGATGTTCTTTCGTAATAGTTTACAGGATTGGTCACGCGGACTAAACAAAAATGCAACACAATCCCAACTCATTATACATTCCGTTTTGCACATCCAGAAACTTACTCCATAAAATTCAAATATTTCGTGTGATTTAGGGTCAGCGAGTGAAACAAGATCTTCCATGAATAGATGGTTTTAACATTGCCCCCAACCGTTTAACACGAGAAAAGCGTTGAAATTCCAATTAAAAGTTCTTCCTTTCTATTCATGTCGTCAGTAATTCAGAAGTGACTTTTTTAAAAGAAAGATTACAAGATTAATATATACGAGGGTTGCTCGGAAAGTTAGTCGACGATGTCAATTTTCGTTATACTGCCTTTAATAAATTTATAATTAGCACCGTATAATATGTAAAAATATTTATTTTGTGTGAAGTTTCATTCCGTGTGATTTCATAGAAGTCATGTTATTAGTCCCCTACCGGTGAAACCGGAGAGGACTATAGCTTTCCTCTGAGTCTGTCCGTCCCTCTGTTTGTCTGTCAGTCTGTCCCACTTGGTTTTCCACACTTTTTTCCTAAGCGCTTGCAGATATTGAGCCGAGTTTTGGTATGTGAGGGTATCCTGATGAGTTACAGATCAAGTTTGCATTTCGTTTCGCTTCATTGATTTTTGACGGAATTACGGCCTTTTCAGTTTTTAAGATTTTTCCACAATTTTCTTCTAAACGCTTGCATATATTGAGCAGATGTTTGGTATGTGACTTAACTTTGATTAGTTAAAGATTAAGTTTGCATTTCGTTCCACTTCATTGATTTTTGACGGAATTATGGCATTTTCAATTTTTAACGGGAACCAGATTACACTTGCCGGTAGGGGACTAGTATTGCTAATGCAATACTCTCAGAATGCTTGTTTAATTTTAAAATCATCATGCTTTGTAACCACGGAGCAAACAAAACAATATCGTAACGTCAAAACATAGGGTTGTGAGGTTCTCAAAAATACTCTCCCTATACATTGTACAAAGTATGGCACAATACCAATGCACTTATTAAAATTGTTTCTCTATCACTTGAAATTTATTTTGCTAACACTTGTTCCAGTAGTATTATTTTGTTTGTCAATGTTATATTTTTTACTGCGTAACTGTGCTTATACAAGATCAGCAACAGTTACTGTAAGGAGCCTAACTCTTACCATGACCTTATGATTTTCTTAAAGCTTTTGATCAGATTTTTACAGATGATCCGTTTTCTCACAGATCGTCCACGTTTGTCACAGTCTCTATCATTTATATACCGTTTGTGTTATGTTCACACACAAGCATGGCTCGCTTTTGACATATTTCCTACTTCCTCAATCATTTACAGAACTTTTATTCTGGAGTTTTCCAGAGTACAAGAAGAAATTGTACTGTAAACTGCAGCTCCGTGACGTTCTTTTTTGCTTTTTTTTTTTCAATGAGGACTGCCTATCTTCTGAAATTGTTTACTTTTTAAAGAAGCAAAATATTAAGTCATAGTTTGAAATATGGAACGATCTAATAACTCTCAACTTGAACGTCTAGGATTTTCCCCGTTTTTTTTGTGTGTGTGTTTTTTTTTTTTGTGTGTTTTTTTTTTTTTTTTGTGTTTGTTTTTGTTTGTTTGTTTTGTTTTTTTTTGTTTGTTTGTGTGTGTGTGTGTGTGTTTTCTTTTTTTTTTTTTTTTTTTTTTTTTGCTAATTTATACAGCTTCTGACTAAAGACTTCATTTAGTGTATTGACTGTAAAATACGACATTTCTGCTTGCTTTGTGATCCAATTTTCGCATTTTTGAACTGTAAGTTCTAAAAACAAGATATTTCAATCTTTTTTAAATACCCTTTTATCTGAAAGGAGAAGGCACGGTTGTATCTTTATTGTGCCCAAAAAATTTAATGTTTTCAAAAAGTTTTAAAACTGGCTTAAATATTAGTTGAGTATATGACTGTGATAAATCAGGAAAGAATATGACATGAAGAAGTACCATTCTGGAATTCAGACATGGAACTCGTAAATACTTACCTTGTCATTGGTCATTTGCAAAATTATTTTGTTAAAAAAGCATTCTGATTGTACACAAAAGTACTCTGAAGTTGACATTAAAAAGATGCTTCAGTTTCTGATTGACAATATCTATGTTGTTTTTGGAGACCAGGTCTTCCAACAACCTATTGGAATTCCCATGGGTACCAATTGCGCCCCATTATTAGCAGACCTTTTTGTGTTCATATGAAGCAGAATTTGTCTAGTAGAATAAAACACTTGCTGTTGCCTTCAGCTCGAAATTTATATATATCGACGACGTATTGTCAATTAACAATGGCTATTTCCATTCATATGTCGATACGATATATCCTGGTGAGCTTGAGATAAAAGATACCACAGAGTCTGACACATCTGTTTCATATTTTGATATTTTACTTGACAAAAACGTTAATGGTAATCTAACAACCAAGCTTGATGATAAACATGATGACTTTAACCTTTCAATCGTCAACTTCCCTTACTTATGCAGCAATATACCTTCATCATCTGCATACGGGTTTTATATCTCTCAGCTGATTCTATACGCAAGAGCATGCTCTACGTAAGTACAATTTCTAAAACGAGGTAAGTTGTTGACAAACAAGTTGATGAGGCAAGAATATCAGCAGTCTCGTTTAAAGTCATCATTTTGTAAGTTCTATGGTCGATACAATGACCTTGTCAGCAAATACAATTTACCATTGAATCAAATGCTGACTGACGTTTTTCATACTAATTGTTAGGCCATTATTTACACACTGAATTGTCGACGGAATTTTCCGTTATTTCCCGATCGTGACAAGAAGCACACGGCGGGTGTGACCAGTCGGCAGGGGATACTCACTCCTCCATGGCACCTGATCCCACCTCTGATGTTTTGGAGGTCCGTGTTTGCTTTGCTCCTATTTTGTATTGTTTAATGGACTTTTGAGCTTGAATACTGTTCGTTATCTCCATTTATTTCACATGATTAATTTGATGCATTTCTCTACTTTAAAATGAAAAAGCCTCAAAATAACCCATTTCAAGGGTTATTTCCTTAAGAAAATAGTGTCCACAGCCGTCGCCCACTTTTTTTTTTATTATATTTAATGTTTTTTATTTCTGGATATGTGTAGAACTCTTTGTTTCACTCATAGATTCCCTCTCGAAAGAGGAAGTTCTTCAAAATCACGTGTCAGTTTTAAATATTTTTAATACTCTTAACAACCAAATTGATTGATTGATTATATGTTGTTTGACGTCCCATTCGAAAATTTTTCACTCATATAGAAAAGTCATCATATGCCGGTGAAGGGCTTCAATTTTAGACCTATACTCGGCACTCATGGCCATTGAGCAGTGAGAATTCTTTATTGTGATAACGCCTACCGTGACACAGGACCTCGGTTTTTAAGGTCTCATCCGAAAGACCCGTGACTTTCTTTTCTAGTGCCGGGCGCTTGGCGAAGGAACAGTCACTACCTATGTTTACATCTTAGGTTTGACGCGGGGCGGCGAACGAGAAACAAACTCGGGCAACAACATATTGAATATGATCTGGACAGTATGGCACGTGTATGGGGGCATATTGATTTGATATGTGGTGGGTAGGTCACGTGGAGGGGGGCATATTAACAATACTAGTATAATGTCGGAAGGCAGCATAATATGTTTTAGTACAGTATTCTTCTAGACCAATGCAATTTCAAGTTTTTTATTAAAAGCAGGATAAAGTACACTGATGGTATTTTTAGAGTGAAAATAAGAAAAAAAAAATACGGGCACAACAAAACAAAATTCGTGGTAATGTATAATACATTTTTCCCTTTAAAAATAAAGATGGTCAGAAAATTTAAATATATTCAACTTAATTATGCATAGGCCTAGCAATTTTCAATTTGAGGGCATTGAGTTCAATACACTATCAAAGCTATCCTATCTTTTTAATTTTTTTTTCAAAGAAAGCAATATTATTTTTTTCAAGCGAAAATCCATCAGGTCCCCGCTCTTCTCTTGATATTACCAGCTCGAAATAAACAATTTTGAAATAATGTCATTTATAGCTCTGTTATTACAAAAAAAATCGGTTAATTAATAGTTATATAATTCACAGACATTGACGAAGGAGGGTTTAGATTCATCCGGGTGGTGTTCATTTGAAACTACAAACTTTCAATTTTTGTAGTCAACAAATGCTTATTAATAGCATAATTTTCTTTTCTTCAAAAATCCATTCTTGATAGGGTGCGCAGATAAACCCCTTGGTTTGAGGCCGTATTTACCAGAGGGCCAGTGCGCGTGCAGCGGCATTGTGACATCACAACCAATACCTTAATCAACGTTAAAACAAATGGATGCAAAGACTGGAGCCAACTGTGTATCCGTGCAGTATAAATCTTATGCAAGTCTATCGCAGGATTATTTCCCAAACATTTCGATTTTTTACTCACAGCAAAAAGAAAACAAGGAACTTATAAGTTGTAATCTGGACTTTTTTTTTTTTTTTTTTTTTTTTTTTTTAATAATTTTTTAACGATAGAAGTTAGATAATGAAAAAGAAATCGTTATGCAGCCTTCAATGTCTTATTTATTCAATTCCTGACTATATATAATACTGTAAAAGTATTATATTTAGCGTGTACGATATTTGGCGGAAATTGATCATTGAGCTAGTTAGCGTGGATCTGATTTAGCGCATTTCTTGATGTTCTTATTTATGTGTCTATGTGCAAGACATTTAGCGTTGTACTTGAATTAGCGGACCTTGCTCTCCGCCAAAGGCGCAAAAGAATACACAGCCAAATGTAATACGTTTACAGTAAAACAATTATGGACTCTTTCTGTGGTGAATATGGTTCTTTTTTTACCAGAAAAATATCAATATTGATGTTTTTTCTGATCAAGAACAAACCATATTCACCACCGAAAGAGTCCATAATTGTATATTACATTCTAGTAAGATAACGAGGCTTGCTTCTGTATATATAAAAGTATAATTGTAAAAACACCTAATTCTGTAAGAGGTTATGAATGGCAAATATATTGTATATATTTTCATGCATTGGGTAATTTAGACGCTAAACAAGCAGATTAAATACGAATTGACAATTGAAAATTAGTTAAGAACAAATGATACAAACAAAAAATTAGAGGCCTGGAATAGTATAAATTTTTAGGACCTATTTTGGTTGAAAATGATGCATATAATAAATTTCTAAAATATTAAGAAATTTCAATTTCTGTGACGTTCAAAAGTCTACCTTTCTGCAACCACACTTATTAATCTATACAATTTTTTGTCACTTTAAATCCCATTATTATGAAACTTTGAATAAAAAATTAAAAACTATGCTGTTAAACATTCATTACCCTTATATAAACCAGACTAAAGTTGTTATTTTCAAAATTTTTGATGAAAGTTTGTTTGTATCATCTGTCCTTAAAACTGAAGCATTGAATGTGTAGTACTGGTGTAGTGAGTTTAAACTTAACGTTTTGTGAAAGATTGCGATGCTAATTAATCTATAAATAATATGTAATAATTTCAATAATGTCCGAGAGATTCCGCATAGAAATCAAAATCGAGACCAAAGCATACGACAATCGTGTACAAAGCGTGTGAGAAACATTGGAAACAAAGCGTTTTGTGTACAAAGTACGTGTGCAGCGTTTCGTGCAAACCGTGTCGCGAGCGTGTTCCGTTCGTGGAGCTCGCGTTTAGGGTAGTAGCACGTTTCAGGGTCTGTATATATAGTGAATACTTGTGGTCTGAGTTTAAATGTTAAGAAATAGAGAAATTATTTAATCATCATCATCGTTTCACGGATATGAGATCTGTTGGACACCTTTGGGTCCCAAGGTGGATACTGGTGGTCGGAATTTAAAAATGTTTTTCCACAGTGATTAAACCACCATCCACCCCATCGGCTACCACATGGTCCACCAGGCCACAAATCATTGTCTCTATCAGCCGTCGAGAATTTCATTCCATTGATGTTCCAGCTAGGCAACGGGTCTCTCATACTGTCCCCTGAACAAGTAAAAAATCTTGGTTTTAAAGCTGAACACGACATATTAATTTTTCTACCTCCCAGTTATTTTTTGAATAGAAATATTACTGTAAACAATGCAACTGTGTCCAGGCCTCTTTAATGCATGTACATTTGTGGGTGCTCAATATCTTTTTCTATAGTTATAAATCTGTAAAAATCTGGAAATTTCGACTAAATATTTTTAGCTGTCTTAATTTTCAAATGATAAGACAATCATATTGATACGGAAGTAAAATTGCGCAAGCATATTTTTTCCATTAATTTACATACAACACTGTGTTGCTTGTAACCTTTATATATTTCTGTAATTTATGAATCTCTTATCAGTACTTACTTCCCATAATCATTTTGAGATAAGCAACCTGATTTGGGTATATTTTGTTCACGAAAGAAAGCATATAATTCCATGTCTGGACAAGAATGAAATATTTGAAAGATTTACAAGTACATTGTAGCACTACAATTAAACTAATAAACCCTATATATCTACAATTTACATATCTAAATTGAAAGTTGAAAACCAGTTGAATAGAATTAATTCCAGACCATTAAGAAATACGTCCAGTCTGTCTTATGAACTTTGGTGATATGAGATTTAAATTATTGAACAAATCAATTATCGCAATGTCAGATACATTAAGCAATTTTTAGACCTGATGACACACAAGTGTATTCTGCATCAGAACTTAGTCGGAACTATCCCTTTACGAGTAATGTTTGTTTAATAATTTATATTCATAAATATTTTCAAAGGATAGACGAGGTAAGGTACACATCATAAAGAGATCAAGGTACTCAACGACCATTTAATTAGAATCATTAAAGGAATACAGAGAAGGCGGTTGCATGGTGACGGTGTAGTGTTTAAGCAGCAAATTAACTCTTTACAAACAGAACAACAGCCCCCTCTTTATTTATTTCTAAATTAAAAAAAAAAGATGCGGGTCGAAAACTGGAATCATTCCAAAATTTCTTGTTACATCTTAAAGAAATGAATTTACAGGTGATTAACATTCTTTCGGCTGAGTAACTGTTTAACCACTTACCACTTTGCCATATTTAATATCCAATAACCCCCCCCCCCCATATATATATATATATATATATATATATATATATATATATATATATATATATATATATATATATATATATATATATATATATATATATATATATATATATATATATATATATATATATATATATATATATATATATATATATATATGGATAATTTGCATAACGGGCGAAACCCGTTATGCATAAATTATCCCACGTTTCCAACTATCGTTGATGTCCCTGGCATACTCTACTAACTAGACAGTGATTCCTTATATTTCCATTTCATTGTGAAATAAAATTGTAAATTTAGATTTTAACAATGTAGACTAAAAGACTTAAATTACACAAGACCTCACATGTCAATTTCAATAATCCCCGCCCACTGACGTCAAACACAAAGACAGCCGCACGAGAATTACATGCATATTAGGCCTTCTTAGCCCCTGACCTTTGGCTTGGCGAAATTTACATGCCGGTAGAATGATCAAGAAATCAACTCAACTAACTTTCAAAGAGTTATCACAGAGAATATATATATATATATATATATATATATATATATATATATATATATATATATATATATATATATATATATATATATATATATATATATATATATGTATGTATGTATGTATATATATAATATATCATTAATGTGATGTCATATCTTTGTTCTTGCAATCTAAAAAATTACCTGTAGCCGTCCAATAGTAATAATTACCAGTCCAATGACATTTTATCGGACGGCATTGATAACAAAATCGGACAGTATTTAAAAAACAACATGTAGAATAAAATCAAGGTTTATTATTTCCAGAAAAAAAGTTGGGGAAAAAACAAATTCAGGGAAAGCAAACGAAAGGAAATTAAGTTGCTACAAAATAGGTATGCAAATCCATGAAGAAGAAAATCGAGTTTTAACCCTCCTTAAAAGTAACACGTTCCATTGGGTTTGTTGCTAAGCGTAAACAGTACTGTAAATAAGCGAATTTTAATCCATTTCTGATAAAGAATCTTTGAATATCGTCATTTAACGAGATTTGTTGGACGATGGTCGCACTTTTAAACCCGAGATTTTCATTATATCAGCCAACTTAAAATTTTAAATAAAACCTCATATTTTTTCGGTGATGATATCATCCAACACTGTGTCTGAATCATGCCAAATGCACTTAATAAAAAATTAATAATATTCCGAATCATAAAAAATTCCTTCATCACCTAAACTATTGATAGTTCCTTCTACACTAAACGGATGTCATTGAATGAATGAATGAATGAATGAAACAAAAAGAGTTCACTCATTGTTTATTCTGTCCAAAGAAACAAAAAAAAAAAAAAGATTTCTCTTTTCTTTTATCTGCGTATTATATGGTTTGAGGTAGAAAACTATTGATGCCTAAACTCCTATTGTTTTATTATCGGACTCCTCCAGGTAACTTTTGAACATTTAAATGGCAATGTTTTAAGTAAGATATATGCCTCATACAATTCTATATTTAAAATTATCAGACTGTTTTCTGCCCTAACGGGCTGATAATTTTACATATAGAACAGTATTCGGCATATATCCATTACTTATATACATGTATAAAGAAAGTACAAAGAAATTCACTTTTATAAGGAGACCCACTTCCGCCCTAATCTGGGTTGAACTCTCGAACAACGGAATCTGTCTCCAAGCAGTACAGGAACAACACGCTACTCCGCTCGGCTGTCTAGGTAAGTCAAAAACTTGCTTTCGATCCCGATGGAATTCTCGCGGCGCCACCCTACACTTCACGGTCATTGAGAATAGAAGTGAGATACTTCAGCATTATTTTTTGAAAGATATAGTCTGATAACTGCAATGGTGTGTGCAAACAAATCGAGTAAGGCGAGGTAGCGCCTTATGAAAATTTGAAAACACGGTTGCAGTTATGAGATTGTATCTTTCAAAAAATAATGATTCAATGCTTATATCTGCATTTTTTAACCCCTTGCCTTGACTGCAAATGTGATTATATTTCAAAATCCCTGTATTAGCCTTAGGGTTAGTAACAATTAATGGAAGAGCCATTGCAACAGCTTCTGTTTAATTTGAGAGTGAACTTTGATTTTCGCTTATGATGTTGCACATGCAGGGCGTACATCGTTTGTGACGTCAAAATAAAATGCATATTTTAAGCTTTTGACCCTTTGTGCGTGTTATGGTGTTTTGAACACACTTTATAAAAATTATATGTGGAATGTAAATATAGTTATTTGGACAAAAGTTTTAATAAAGGATCATTACCGATACACATTGAAAGTAAATGAAATCAATGTCCAAATAACTATATTCATGTATGCATATACATGTATATACAAGGGAATTAGAAATGCTACCCAAAATTTTATTCGCAAACTTAAGCGAGCAGATTACATGCGTTATTCGATTTACGAGGATCCAATGTTTATTAAACAAAATGAGTTTATATAACATATTGCTTAAAATCTCTATCTTATACAACAAAGGTTTGAACATATTGTTTAATTCAGAAATAAGTGACATTACCAAGACTCCCTGTAGCGTTTCCTGCCAGCTGGATTCTGTAGTCATCAGCCTCGTCTGTGATGTAGAACTGGTCATATCGTTCATATAGTGTTGTTCTATTGGTCAACATTATGGAAACATACAAGGAAGTTGTATTTTTGACGGTCAACATATGAATGAGGTCATTTCCTACAATCATTAAATTCGAATTTTACTTATCATTTTTAAGTTAGTTGTATTCATAGACCATAAAATTTTCCCCTTAAATAAGAATGAGGACTTTTCACAGGTATTTTATGTCTCTAATATTAAAACCACAGTGTCATACGCAATGTACCTTACAACATACATTTTCCATTTATAATTTTTCAAGATATTCATAATTAATAACATATTGTATCTTATGATCTTTATTGACAAAACATATCAACATACACCACCAGGACTTTGGAAATCGAAAACAAATCAAGGAAGTCTTTGTGCTATTCAAAGACAAATATACCTAAAATATCAAGCCTACAAATTTAGCTCCCCTTTCCTCAAAATTTGTTGCAGAAGAGGTGTACAGCGTCATAAGGCATAATAATAGTCGCATAAAGGTCCTTCAAGTATTGTAACACTTCAATTATAAAGGGAATTAGAAGATCAAGTTTGAAACTACATTGCCTACATGTATGTCCTTAATACAAAACAAAAATAGAGGTACTGTGAGCAGTGAGTACACTTAATGATACGCCCCTACCCCCTTCCAATCCCATAAGGGTTTAATAGCAGTGACCATGTTTTGATATTGGAAACCTGAAATATGTGTCTGATAAAAGTAAAATCGGTGTAACAATGGCGCTAAGTAGAAAAGATTCTGTGAAAGTTATTTAAAAATATTCACCGAGCCCTTCTGGTTCGGTGAATCTTGTACACCTCAGGTGGCTAAACAATCGTATTGACAGCAAAAAACAATAATTGTATAGTAATGGTTAGTCTAAATAATGCTGTATAATCATGCGCGGTATTCTTTAATTTTAAGTAATATGAACTTGTTGATATAAATGCATTCTGTTATAACATTTTTTAAGTACTAGTAATAAGTTAAAATATTTGACAAAAAGGTCAAATAATTGCAGTAAACAAAGAAATAAAAACAAGCGCTTTAATCGTTTCTTTCATTTATCACCCTAATATCAGATAGTTTTACGTAAGTAAAGGGAATTGAGGATGAAAAAGCTGAAGTCTTCTCAATTGTCATGTAGTAAGAGTGTTTATTCTAGAAGTTTTATGGTTTCTTTTCTAATTTGAAGGAAAAAAATACGAAATGTTATAATAATTGATTATTGACAAAATTGTGCCAATTAGCTTTTACACCGAGTTAATTATTCATGATTAACTAAAATATGCAAATTGCTTTATTGATCTGCACTTTTAGTACTGTTGTGATTGTACACTAAAACCCCCCAAGACTTTCATATTACTCGGAAATGAATTATTCAAATAATAATTTTCTACAAGTCTAGTCAGTAGCATAAGCCATAAATTCTAAAAACACATATTTATTCGTTCTTAAAATTCGTTTTCGAAATTCATCTCTGCAACTATTAGACAGTTAATGTCTATGAAAGAATCATTACATAAAAACTTGTTGATAAACAATTTCTTAAACTTTGATGACTAGAACAGTCAAAAATCAAAGGTATAGTGATATTAATGATAAATAACACACAACCAACCCAGCCAATACTCCGTTTCTGCTGATCCAAACCCTTTCTTGTACTCACTCCACGTTCTGTTGAATCTCACAGGACCGTAAACACGTCTTTGTATAGCCTTTGTACGAGAAAGAATGCAATATATAGAAAACATAACTGATAGTTTTTTAAGGAGGTTGGGGGCTGTGATGGTTGGTTTTTATTTTTATTTTATTTAATTTTTTTTTTATTTTTTTTTTTACTAATGCATCATATCAGTATCTAACAAACAGAAGGATATCTCGAAATGGAATGCAAGAAAGCGGCAATTATTCCCAGAAATTATTTAAATGATTGTTTAAAACAAATGTTAAAAATCAAATACGTAACTGATAACTACAGACCTATCGATCCCATTCAAGAACCTATCAAAATATTGTTACCTTAACCAAAATTCAAAAAAAAAAACAAGCAGATTCTAAGGTACACTCTAAGTAAGTTGATAGAATCACACGTGAAATCATGAACAAACCGTCCATCCTCCTCCCTGTGTCTTCATATCACAGTACACATCTACAGGTCTCTGTCTGTCTCTCCATGGGTAGATTCTGTACACTCCTGATACAGCTGGGACAAGGGCACGTAGCTCCAAACAGGTAGATGCTTTGAAAAAAAAACAACAATACATTGTGATTGACATAATAATATTGAAAAAAAATTAAAGTTATTTAAATATTTCTTTTTATACGTACCATAAGGTAATGTGTAATATCTCAAATCTCCAGATTTATCAAAACTGTTCGTGAAGGTTTTATTGATATACTTTTGCAATAATGTACAGGATTGTTCACGCGGACTAAACAATAATGCAACACAATTCCAACTCGTAGCGCATACCGTTGTGCACATCAAGAAACTTACTCCATTGAATTCAAATATTTTGTCTGAAATAGGGTCAAAGAGTGAAACAAAGTGTTCAAATTTTGGAATGAACTGTACTCCCAAAACCGAAAGAGATATTAACGAACCGAATAAGACTAATAACTGTAGAAACATCAATCTGAACATGTCCGTGAAATTTGTAATCTTCGGAAAGCAGTTGTTGTTTATTGTTGATATTACTTAATGGTTTGGGACTTCTTTTATAATGTGCGCCTGTATTATGAATAAATAATACATAATGTATGCACACAACAGATTTGTTTCTCGCCTGTGTTATGAATAGATAATACATAATGTATGCACACAACAGATATGTTTCTCCCAGTAGACATAAAATATTAAATGAAAGGTATTTTTTTCATCAAATCAATATTTAATCATTTTGAATGATATTAATTTCAAAGTTAATAAGTGCCATTAAATAAAACGTTGAAAATGAACTATTTAGTATGCTACTATGTATGGTTATGTCTTTATGTATTTCATTACTGAATCGAATTTTGCATTAATATTGGCATTTCAACTAATTTCTTGTGTTAAACGGTTATGGGACAATATTAAAAACCATCTATCCATCCGTCTTCACTAGTTCAGAAATGAAAAAAAAAATTAAGAGATTACAAAATCAATATGCATTGGTTCCGAATTGCAAACAGTGAACAACATAGTATTTTTTAATATCTAATATTCTTAACGACCAAATTGAGTTCATATTACCATAACTTTACTGGAATTGCAAAAATCCTTACAAACAGATACAAGCGGATTTTAGTTAATGTTCTACCAATCTCCTTTCCTCACTCCTCACAAAAATATTTAAAACCTGAGTGAAGGAGTAACTTCAGGAGTACGGTACACTTACATTTACGAGGAGCTATGTTTATTAGATGCTTAAAAACACCAAGGAAATTATAGAAACCTATGAAAATGGAATGTTCCGTCTACCCGATCAATACATATGGCTTACGGCGGATGTGACCGGTCAACAGGGAATTCTTACTCCTTCTAGGCACCTGATCACATTTCTTTCCAGGGTCCGTGTTTTATGCCCCTCTTTACAGAATTGTATTGTTTATAAATTTTGAGATATCGATCACCGTTCATTATCTATATCTTTTTTTATATTGCTAATGAGACTATCAAACATTTTTCTAATATCATGATCGGAGTACTTGTGTGTAGAATCAGAAGAATCTTTGCATATTTTTTTTTTCTGCACTTCGACTAATTGTTTCATAACAAACATGATAAATCTCAGTCTTAATGCGGATCAATTTTTCTTGGAAAGATGAAATTAACTTATGACTTAAAATCCATGATTTTTTCTTGATGCTACTTTAGCTAATTTTGTGTAGGTGTTATAGATGTTACACACTGGGATGCAATTTCAATATCTGCTTCGGATGATGTACGGAAAGTTACTTTACTATTGCTGTTAAGTCTACCTACGTTTACTATGTAATCATGATTCGAGTGCTGTATGCGGTCTGTATGAATTAGCCAGTTAAACTATTAAAGAGGTCAAATTCCAACTGGATGTAGACCTTGCAATGACCAAGTTTGCATAAACTAAAATTAGAAGTCTTTCACCAGCATCTGGTGACGTCTTTTATGAGTGAAATTATCTTGCTAAGGACTTAAAACTACAATTTTCAATCAATCAATCATACAGCACAGTTTGACACACATATTATGCACTAAATGAGTAATTTTTTGCACCTCTAAGTTTAATCAACTCTATATATTTCTGACAATAATCTTAAACAAACCTGATAAACTGATGTATATTAGCAGCTTTCATTTGGCGTAGACATTGATTCGCTATTTTATGATTACCGTTAATAAATGAATATAGATGATTTTGTCAATTCATAAATTTTGTTAACCTATCAAATCCGCAACTTTTAGGCTTTTAAAATTCGAGATACTAGTAGATTCAAGCATGACCAATTTTCACCATGATATATGCGTGTGATTCTATTTTATACGTAACATTTTTGATTCAATTTAATGTAGCGCTTTAATTATAATTTCACTTGCTATATATAGAACATTCGCAAATCGTTTACTTCATAACGTTATAGGTACACAGTGCTACATGTAGTATACATGCAACTAAGTTACCCCTTTTAAAGCAATTAATCCTTCTAATAAACTGCTTGTAATCATACATTCACTACTAGCATTTGCACCTTTTTGACATTTAATTTTCTTTAGATTTAACTACGATTTTTATTAAATTATATAAGCGAAATTTTACTTTTTATATCATTATTAATAGTGATTTAAATGGATGTTCTTGGTGTTGCATGCAAAACTCCGGAAAGCGAAATGTAGGAAATTTGGATTCACTACAGATATCTAATTACTGCTTGTATACACAATGTGGCCGGATCATCGTAAAATTCACCGACTGATAGGGTCATTGTTAAACTCCACTCGTTTAACAATTACTTTCTTAGCGAACTAAATTTAATGAAATTTGGTGGATGATGAATAAAGTTTGTAAAAATGATGATCAATTTTTATCTACCCTAATGCTAAATATGCAAGGTGGACAAACATAATCGAACAGTAATAATTATACCTTATTGCTAAGAATATTTGTGTTAACTATTATTTTTTCAAAACTTTATTCAATTTCAATTAATTTGTTTTTGCAGGACAATTGCCTGGCGCTAATTCATGATTACATCAACCATCCCATACCTGGCAATTGCGCTCAATTTGAAATACGTCAATTTTTCCCTTTACTTGAACCTCAAATATTTTTTGGGGCCTGAAAACACTTTTTTCAACAAAATCTTTGAAAATCATTAACAAATATGCAAGTTTGGACCAGCAGCCCCCCCCCCCCCCCAATAAAAGGAGGGAAAAAATAAAAAATCGAAAATCAAGAATACAAGTAAAGAAGGATTACAAGGACATATTCTACCTCCAGCTCTTGTGTTATAGATAACACATATATTTTAGAATTGATGAACTTTAAATCATTCACCGGGTTTATCAAAAAATAGCAATTCCTTCTGTAGTTCTTTATGGTTGATGCAATAAAAAGCGATTATTTAGATGTTCTTTTCTATGCGTACTTTTATTTCACGAAATAATTATCATTCTCTTTAAACAGATATCATAGGCTAGCACGTTAACTGATGACTTTAATGATCCCATATATATTAATATCATAAAATAAGTCCAAAAATATCGATTCATTTAATACCTTTGTCAGCAAAGCCAATACGCCATTGTTATATAGAGAGACATTCTTGCATTCACTCGAGCATAGAAATTAAGACCGGAAGAGAAGTTAACTTTTTTTGTTCAGAAACACGATATATTATAAAACCAAAATTGGGGAATATTGTTCCAGGATTCAAGGCTATTTAACAATTTACAGCCACTATAATTTCTGAAATTTAAAAATATTATTAACATGTCCAAATATACATCTCTACAGCTATTAGCCCTTATTGTTTTTTGTGTGTGTCTTTCGATTTTTGGAGTGCAATTCAGTCCAAAATTTGAGCACTTTGTTTCTATCACTGACATTATTTACGAGCAAATATCTGAATTTAATGAAGTTAGTCTTGTGATGTGTACAACAGAATGTGCTATAAATTGGGCTTGTGTCGCATTATTGTTTTCTCCGCACGCTAAATCTTGCAAAACTTTAAAACAATATATTAATGCAAACGGTTCTAAAGAATCCGAGGATTGGAGATATTATACCTTTCTACAAGGTAAGTATACAAGATTATGTATGTGTGTATATTTTGCTGCAGAACTGTAGCTCTTTTGTTAAGAAAAACCGGACAGATAAAACAGAGAGCTACAGATCAAAGTAAGATCATTGTAAAAACCCTCGATCTACGGTGCATTTTTTGACGCACACTTCGGGTATTATTTCTTGTTTGGTGTGCGTTTCCTCGAAAAAGCATGGCATCCTTTAATTAAGCATTAATCATATTTTACTCCTAATCCTGTTACTTTATTTTTTTTTCCAAACAGTCTGAGTAGCTCTATGCGACCTTAGATTGTCAGTTTCAAAAAATTTGCTTTCCAAAATCCATATTTTAGTGTCATTCTAAAATTCAGCTGGAAAATTTACATCCTGTTATATATATATATATATATATATATATATATATATATATATATATATATATATATATATATATATATATATATATATATATATATATATATCAAAAACAAATCACAACACCGAAATAAACTCTACCGGTTTCATTTTCAATCTTCAGGAGTTTGACAACATATTGCTTAGTTACACATAAATATATATATATATATATATATATATATATATATATATATATATATATATATATATATATATATATATATATATATATATATATATATATATATATATATATATATATATATATATATATATATATATATATATATATATATAAATCTGATTTCCTTTTTATATTCTTATACTTGTTTATAGACGATATGGTTAAAAATGCCCCCCCCCCCTTTCTCGATTTTATTTAAATTACTTAGATTTTCTCGGCATGTTCAACGGTTGAGGGATTCCATGATGCTTTTGTCGGGGAAACGTATATAATACAACAAATAATACCCGAATCGTGCGATAAAAAAAGCAGCGCAGTTAATCAAAAGTTTTTTTCAGTGTTTGGATCTGTGATTGTTTTTCCAAATCTCTAAACCAGGGAGGTATTTTAGTCATTAATCCATCATGTCGACATTTGGGAA